TGGAGCTGTGCCCTTTGTTCTCGGGGTGCTGGGTTGGCGTGGAGCTGTGCCTTCTGTTCTCGGGGTGCTGGGATGGCATGGGGATGGCATGGAGCTGTGCACTCCACATCCAGCCACTGGGAAGGATGGGAGAGAGGGGAGAAGGGACACTATAGGTGCCTTGGAGAGGAGGCACAGTGGACAAGAGCATGATGAAAGAAAAAGTGCCTTGTGCACTCCCCCCCCACGAATAAACAGCACGGATGGCAGTGACTGACGGAAGCTCAGGTGCTGCAGTCCTGCCCTCGGGAGCTGCCATGTGAGACCTGCCGTCACATGGCGCAGATGCCATTGTCCCTGCAGATAATGTGGCGGGTTGCATTGTTGGGAGAGGATTAGAGGAGCTGCAATGTTTTGATGGCCTGCTTCTCATTTGCATCTTGAATGAAGTGGGAGCCCAGCCAGGTTCTGTTCTTTTGTGTTTACTTCTGAGGAAATGTGTTTATTTCCGATGATTACAAATAAATCTCCTCTGCCTTTGCTCCAGCCGCCCAGAATAAAAAACATCCGGTGCCCCTTAACTGTGTAGCCAGGGTGCATATTGGAAGTGCAGGAGAAATCCCATTAGGAGTCCCTGGCAAATGTAATCAACAATTTCTTCTCAAAGACTAGGGTGTTTGTTCTGCCCCTGTGACAGGTATTTTTGGTTGGAGGTTTCCCAGGGTGAAGCATCACCTGGTTGCTGTCAAGGGGCTTCACTCCCGATCTGGGTGAGCTATTTTAGCCGCTGAAAACTGGGTCAGACAGCAAGTTTGCAACTGGTTTTGGCATCTCCATTTGTCATCCTGACGAGACGTTACCTACAGGAGAGAGAAGCAGTTTGGGGTTGAAGGGCCATAGAGGAGTTTAAAAGTAGAGCACTGTTGGTTTGAACAAGGAAACAGGAGAGGTTCGAATCCCAGAATCATCAGATATCCTCAGCTAGAAGGGACACAAAAGGATCTTTAAGTCCATGTCCTGGCTCTGCACTGGACAACCCCAAAATCCCACCATGTGTCCAAACAAATGGACAACAAATTTGGGTTGATCCGTCCTCCCAGCCTCTTGGCATGGACAGGGACTGATGGTGTTGGCTCTTCAGGTACAAATATGTCCCCTGGGTTTCTTAGGATGTGCATCAATATTTTGGGGTCCCATGTATCCCATTCCTCAGAATATTTTGCACCCATGGGAGAGGGTTTTGCAAGACTTCCTGTAGCATTCCAACTCTTTGTGTCCTGTTTATCCCTCCAAATTACTGCCATAAAACTTGTGCTGACCTTGGACACAGTATTTCCCTCACCATGGGGGAGGTGTTGAGGGCAGCCCCAGGCTTCTCCCTCGTGTTCAGCCAAGTCAGCAGTGCAGAAAAGGTCAGTGATGTGGCCAGAGAAGGCAGGGGATGAAGATGGAGGGTGCTGTGCTCAACCCACACGTAGGAGAGGCACTGTCAGTGTTCATTGATGGGGCTGGGAAGGAGCCTGCTGTGGGAGCCATGTGGGGTCTCTCCTAATAGGTGCAGGAGGAGGGAGATGGGCACTGTGTGCCACCACACACAAGGAGCATGTCAGGAAAGCTATCTGTATTGTTGACACTAAGTGAAATAATCCCACAGCAAACTTCAAAATTAGCATTTAAGAATGAGGAATAGGGGCAATTAGAGGGGAAGCAGCGCAGTGCCGGTGCCCCCAGCTCCCACCCTCATGCATCTTCTCACGCTGCTGCATTCAGGTTCATCACCCTCATCTCTGGTGGAACACTGGGATCCCTGCAGCAGCTCTCGTCCTCCTGCGGAGTGAGGGGATCAATATTGGTCTCAGGAGCTGGAGCCTTCAAGAGCCTACATGTATCATTGTGAGCACTGTGAGGGCCAGAGCTCCAGCAAAGCCTGGCATCCAAAGCTCCCCAGCACTCTGGAGGAGAGCAGCAGTGGTTGGAGGCACTGATGGTGAAAAGCCTCTGCTCAGAGGCAATGAGGGTGTAAGTGGGATGCAGAGATGGAGGAGCTGATGGCACTGGTCACATTCTGCAGAGAAGGGGTGCGTGGGAGAGCTGGGATGGGGATGCAGTGTATGCTATGGGCTGATGATATCATTCCCGATATATTCTTCCTACCTTGCTGATGGGCTTTCTCCAGGTGAACTGCAGAGCCAGGATAAGTTTATTTCCCTCCCATGTGACAGGCGCTTTATTGTCTTTTGTCCCTTCTGGACTCGTAAGGCAGTTTCTGGAGATGGATACAGTGCCTTCAGGAAATTGTTAATGGGGGTTTGTCTTTGGTTTTAATTAGATCCCTTCAAGGGAAAACCTCCTGGCCTGCTTTATTATCCAGCTTTGTCAGGGCTTGTCTGCTTTATCTAAACACTTTGCAGAAGTCTCTTTACCTGTTTGCTTACCGGAGACATTATCATAATCCTGGTCAATTGGAAATGGGGAGCAAAGACAGCTCAGCAGACAAGTGAGTGCCGTCAGCTTAGCAGCTAATGGAGATCACTTTCCCAGACAGGTAAAGAAGCTGATGAGGTGATCCTTGTGGCAGGGTATCCATCAGTATTCTCTTTGTAGTGCCAATTGCCAGGGCACGGGAAAACTGGTGGTGGGAAATTGAGGTTAGCTGAGAAGGTGCCTCCAGGAATGCCATGTGCTCTGTACCAGCTGATGGATGGGGCTTTTCTGCTGCTGGTGATTCTGACATTCCCAGGAGGCACAGGAGGGCTGTTTTTTTGTCTAGTCATCTGTAGCTGCAAGGGACAGTCTGGGCTCTGGTGGAGGGGAGCTTGGTCCTAAATTTGCTATTGAGTGGCAGTGATTGAAGAGAGGGCTGGAGGGTTGGGAAGGAGGAGCCTTTGCCTTCTTGCTCTTAGCATGGGTTTGTTACAGAGGTCTCCATGTTGCTTCTGCCCACTCATTCCAAGTGGTTTTGAGGGCAGCACCAGTCACCAGCGCCACAGACAAGGCAGGGTGATGCTGTCCTTGCCCTCCCTCCTGTGAGAGTGTCCACCTGGAGAATCTCTGGGTGCTTGTGCAGTGCAGCTCTGAGATGTAAGTGTGAGATGTAAATGCAGAATGAACCACCCCAGTTCTCAGATGTCCTGGACCGGCCCCAGCTCTGCTCAGGAAGCACATCCCATATGCACCAGCGAAGCTGGGCAGCAACAGTCGAACGTACTCAGCGCCGGCACGAGCGTCTCATCCCTGTCACTTCAAACCCAAGTCCTTGTGCTTCACCCCTAATGAGGGGACCCGAGAGTACCTCGCAGGGCTGTAGTCTGGATATTTATATGAGCGCAGACATGCAAGTTGTCTGTTTTACATATTGCTGCCCTGATTTTTCAGTGCACGCAATGAATAATTTACAGAAGCCGTGTGTAAGTATCTCTTTATTATTCATTATAATGAAGTGAGACAGCAGTAATAGTCCACTAGACTGGAATCCCCCAGGGCCGAACTTTACTCGGCTGTGCTTAGCTCTCCCCCAGTTAATTTGAAGGAAGAGAGGGCTCGGCTTCCTGACAAGGACAATGCTGTCTGCCGGCACAAGGCTGCCCTGGTCCGGCAGAGCCGAGCTGGCGCCGGGGCATGTCTGACACCAGGCAGGCTCCCCTCATGCCGGCGGTGCCACAGCAGGCGTGGAGCGCCATCCGTCTTTCCCGGCGTCCATACGTGATGTGGCTGGCAGAGACGTACAGCTCCTGCAAGGGGAAAATTACTTGTTTGCAGGAGAATATATGGCTCGTTCCTCTAACCGTGCACCCGGGGGGACCCTCAAGCATGCCAAGTATCGCCCCTTCCCTGCGCCCGATTAATAATCTCGATCGAGGTGATGCTCTGCAATCTCAGCAAGGGAGGCATATAACACCCCCAGAGCCTGGGCAGGAGAGGCACTGCAATGGGGATGAGGACAGGAACAGCCTCCCAGCTGCTCTCTGAATTTACAGGCATGTGGAGAGGGACTCACACGAGTTCCTTGATTGACTGTAGGTGCCTTTTCCTACAATCTTGGCTGCACAAAGCTGCGGCAGGTCTGCCACTGCTGGCTCTAGCTCACTTCTAGCTTGATTTTCCCTTTTTTTTTTCATGCCAAGAGAAAGCTTCCCTAGCCTGGTCCTCAGGTGGCAAAGGTGAAGCTCCCAAGGGATGCTGGGCTCTTAATTTAACCAAACGTTCAGAGCTTTTGCTGCAGATACCATGGCAGCAGCTGAGAAGGTCGCAAGTAGATAGATGGAGAAGAATCTATCAAAGAGCATGAAAAAGCCATGTTTTCCAGGAACATTTTAATTCCCTTCCCCCCCATCCCATTCTTTGCCAAGTGTAACTCAACGCCGTGGACCGGAGCTGCCGAGCTCCTGCACTTCTCAGAACAGGGAGGGTGGGAGCCAGACAGGAAATAAATAATGGAAACGACCGTGTTGTGTTTTCAAGGCACTTGTAGGATTTACAGCTGCTTATCCAAATGTTCCCTTCCCTTCCTCGTGTGCTGGCTTGGCTGTCTCCGGCTGTTTCTCTTCTTCTCCTCTCCCTGTGCATGTGCTGTGGCCCCTGTCCCCAGCAGTGGGGGTGTTTATAACCCTGGGGATGGCTTGAGGCCTGTGCCAACAAGCTGAACTGTCAGCACATTTTACAGCTTCATCTGGAATTCTCAGTGCACAGCAAAGGCAAGGGGGGCTGTGGAGGTGGATGAGAAGGAGGATAGAGATGGTCTGCCTGGCTTACAGAGGTCAAACAATGGGAATTTTGTCTGTGGTTCCCCAGTTGTGTGTAAAAGAAAAAGGGAGGTTTTATTTCTGGTGAACCCACTGTTTATGTGAAATCTCACGTGATGGGGAATGTGGAAACAGGGAGCACGGCCACAGCATGCAGCATCTCCATACTGGCAGAGCTGGGGAGCCACACTCCCATCCTGCTCCCGTCCCTTTTTAGGACCTGGGATGCTCTGTGCATGTCCTGTTCCAGGTGTGTGACCCTCTGTGTGTCCCCTCCAGGTGTACTGTGGATGACCGGGTCACGCGGGTAGCGTGGCTGAACCGCAGCACCATCCTGTATGCCGGCAATGACAAGTGGTCTATAGACAACCGTGTGGTCATCCTGTCCAACACCAAGACCCAGTACAGCATCAAGATACACAATGTGGACATATACGATGAGGGCCCCTACACCTGCTCTGTGCAGACAGACAATCACCCCAAGACTTCACGCGTCCATCTCATCGTGCAAGGTAGGTCGGAACATGCCTCGTGCTGTTGCTGGATGGTTTGATCTGGAAGGCTGCCTGGACTTGGGAAGGGTTTGGAGGCCCTCTTGGTAGGGGAGTTGGAGCCAGCATTAGCTGCTTCAGAGGTTGCATGGCATGGGAACAGTGATGTGGACAAGTGCCCACCATGCCAGGGAGGAGATGAGTGTGTATTGTGTCAGCCTTGCTGTGTTGTACAGTTTTCACATGGGGCACAGGACACCTGAGAACTGGCAGTGGGGCTGCTGAGCTCTTCTTTATTTCCCCTTTGCCTGTCTGTGCTGTGAATTTGACCTGTTTCCACTGCTTGGAACCATGTTGCTCAGCTCCTTCCATCAGGGATTCGGTAGTGAAGTTCTCAAGCACGTGTTCGAAGATGCTTCAGGAGAGCCAAAAGCAACATGCTGCCAGGCACAGAGGAGAAGCAGGGACCAGCAGCACAAGGCTCCATGGTTTTGGGAGAGAGGTCGAAATCACTGTGGGGCCATGAAAGGTCTTGGCACAATTGTATCAATGTAGCAGATGCTGTTGGGCTGCAAAGCAGTGTCCTCAAGCTGTTCTGATGGGGGGATCCAGGTGCTGGCAGTTCAGAGGGGCCAGTAGCTCTCTGATGGATGCTACCTCTGGATTCTTGCGGCTTTGCACCAGCTACTGGCTTTTGTCCGGTCTCTAGATTAATTTTTCAGAGTTAGTGTTAGTTCAGGTTAGATAAAGATAATGAAAGTTTCCTAATCCTCTTAAAGAAGATTTATTTGGCTGAGTAAAAAGCTCTCGGAATACAATAAAGCGTGTATAAAACCAGGACCTAATCTTTCCTTTAATTTCAAACAGCTGATGGGTATTGATTTTGCAATGAGCAAATCTGAAAACTTTCTCAGCCTCAACACGTCTCTGAGAAGCCCCCAGCAGAGTTATGTATGTATTTATGTACCCTTCTCATTGGCTAGAGGCATGGGTTGATTGTGGTCACCTATCCAACAGGTTTTCCTGCCTGGTGGTTGTGGGAATGTGTTGGGAAACCCTAGATCGTGTGCACCAGGCTGTGGTGAAGAAGGGGAGTGCTCATCTCGGGAAGAGGGGAGAGGAGATCCACTGGAAAGATCCCTCCGTCTCCTGTTCGGAGCTGTCCCTCTCTTCCTTTTCGAGCTGTGTGCGAGCTGTCCATCTGTGAGGTTTAATCTGTTTATCCTGTCTGCTCTCTAATCGTGCTAATCCATCCAGTCAACACCGGTGAAGTATCCAAGTGCTTTGCACCTAATGAAATCAGGTGAACTGGCAGTGAAGCTCAGAACCCGCTGCCCTCACCCCTTTCTCAGGGTGATGCAGGCACTTGCCAGGCACAGCCAGGTGAAGGTGAGAGAGAGTTTGTGTCCAGAGTGACGGTCTGGTGGTGAAGCATTTGTAACTGTGCTGGGGAAAGTTTTTTTCCTGGTGTGAGCAAGTCCTGTTGAATTGTTCCCACTGCAGTGATGACTGTGGTTCTCAGCCGTGTCACTTCTGCACAGCTGGAGGGAAGCAAGAGAGGAACTGTGGGTGCAGGCACGGGTCAAGTGGTCCATGCAGAGCAGTGTCTGTACTTCCCTTTCAATGTGTTAAGCTCAAACCACATGGTTTTCCCAGCTGAGAAAATCCATCTGTAGGTGCCTTTGATGGTGGTGATGAGAGAGGCAAATCCTCCTGTGTTCTGTTCCTGATTCAGCCTGAGGAAGAGAAGTTTGTGTAGAGGTGCCATAGCAGCCATCCAGTATCTGAAGGAGCCTACAAAGATGTTAAGAGGGACTCTTCATCAGGAGTTGTAGTTAAAAGGAAAAATGGGTTCAAACTGAAAGAGAGGAAATTTAGGCTTGATGTGAAGAAGAAATTCCTTCCTGTGAGGGTGGTGAGGCTGTGGCATAGGTTTCCCAGAAAAGCTGTGGCTGCCCCATCCCTGAAAGTGTTCAAGGTCAGGTTGGAGCAACCTGGTCTAGTGAAAGGTGTCCCTGCCCATGGCAAGGGATGGAACAAGATGATCTTTAAGGTCACTTCTAACCCAAGCCATTCTATCATTCAGCTCCACTGCAGTTCCTCAGTGGCTAAATTGTGCTTTTTGTTTGGGTGAACAACACGCAGTCCATTGCTCAGTGCTGAGAGGAAAGGAATGATTTTCCAAAGATGGATTTAGTCCTGGCTGTTACTGCAAGCAGAGCACACACTTTACAGGGATGGGAGCAAAGCCCTGTTTCTGGCCTCAAAATTGAGGTTTAGCTCTGTCCTCTGGTTTTTTGCCCTCACTGTGCCAGCAAGATGCCAAACAAGCAGTAATGACTAGTTAGCAGCTATATTCAGGTCAATTAATTTCTATTTGTATTTTGCAAAACTAAAAGTTGGCCGGAGAGAGTATTGATTCTTTGTGCCCATGTTCAATTGGGTTTTAATTGTGCTACTGAGGGGCCCAGCCTTCCCTCCCAGCAACCCAGCAATAAATCTGCCAAGGAATCGCCGTCAACAGTAAATGTGTCTCTTAGTAGCACTATTAATATGTCTCTTGCATTGGTTCATTGCAACAGCCGTTAACAGGGTTTATAAGAGCGTAGATGGCAGGAAGCCAGAGGGGTTTTTTTTGTCTCCCTTTTCCTCTTTTTGTCAGGAGCTGCCTCGTGTTGAAGGGATGGATGCTTTCAGAGATATGTGTGGTGTTTATGGCACGCTAGTGTGTTCTGGGGGGAGTTTGGGATGCAGAGAGAACAGTCATTTAAGCTCATATAAGCAGAAGATGAGCCACCCTGTCCTCCTCTTGTCATAAAGGCTGGAGTGGAGCTGAAGTGGGGTGGACCTTGGTGAGCCCTCCTGCCTCTGGGGGGAGCAGTGTGAAGGCCACCTCTCAAAAAGGGGCAAAGGGAGAGCTCCTGGAAGGTGCAGGCTTGCAAGGAGAGCCGGGAGCCCTTAATGGCATCATGCTACAGGATGGTTTTGCAGTGAGGAATGGCATCATGCTGCAGTGGTTTTGGAGGGGTAGACCCTAGTCAGGACACAGTCCTGTCTTCATGGCTTGGGCTGCTTCAGGTTGTACTTCAGTCTGAAATGTGGAGCTCAGGGTCAGTGTTTTGGTGGAGGCTGTGAGCCTGTGATCCCTTCTGGTCTAGATTTCGGTGGTGAACATTGGTACTGGCCATCCCTACCTAACAGTGGTCTTTGGTATTTCTCAGATGTCCTCTGTTTCTGATTCATTTAAAGAACCCTTCCCTTTCCTGCCTTAATCGTACTTGCCATACTGAAGCCTCTCCCAGCTGTTGGCATTGTTTCTCTTTTTACTGGTTGGCACAATCCATTTTCTGTCTTGGTGTTTGTTACTTTCCTCGCCCTGGGAACCAGGCCAGGTTTTGAAGAGCCATGGCCTTTGTTTATGTGGTGTATTATCCAGATGCACCTAGGGATGGTCTCCTGGAGCTGGTCATGTGTCTCGCCACCTCTCAAAGCAGCACCAGTGCAGATGTAGTTTCTCCATGAGTGTTTCAAAACCAAACTGAGACGTTTATTTTTCCCTTGTGTTAACAACTGGCTCCCTAGGGCTCTCAAAGGGCCACCCCCACCCCCCCCAAGCCACCCCCATGGAGATCTTTTTCTCCAAAGAGGAAAGGTTGGATGAAAAGTTGCAGTCAGAACCCTATCTCAACATTCCTTCCTCCCTGAAGAGGCAGAGGATGGGCAAGAGTGTGAAAACAGCCCGATGAAGGTGATGCAGGAGCAATGTGATAGTGAATTCAATGACAAAACAGCCCAAAGAAAATCTGGAAGGAATAGCAAAGTTTGAAGAAGGAAGCAACTAGAAGGAAAAAAAAAAAAAAAGAAAAAAAGAATGAGAAGAAAAGCTCAGAGTCCCTAGAACAAAGGAAAGAGAGAAGGAAATGTGCACACACAGAAAAGCACTGGAGCATCAAAAGGGCAGGAGGCAGCAAAGGGGAGAAGTGAAAGAGCAGTGAAAGAGTGAGGGTAGGGAGAGGGGGAAGGTCTGGAAGGAGGAAGAGTCAAACTGGCAGGCAGAAAACAACACACACTGCCCAGACAGGAGCAGCCACTGCCCCTAAAGTGCCTGCCATGACATGCCAACCCAAAATCTGGATGGGAGAATGGGAAAGGAACAGGATGGGGTCCGCCTGACAGCATCCTTGGGCTCCCAGTCTCAAAGCTGCCTGAAACTGGTGAAGAGGAGCCGTCAGGATGTGCCACAGGGACCAGCAGCAACAGATGATTAATTACTGCAAGAAAACAAAACTGGGGAAGAGGAGGGAGAACTGGTGAAATTGTTTCCCCATTATATTTCCGAGCAGAAAGAACGTTTTAGCTCGTGCACAAATAGCTCCCTGGGAAGCACTCTCACTTCCTAATTGTTCATAAATTTACTGACAGGTGGTTACACAGTAGGTATAACACTGTGAGTTTCGTTTTTATTGCTTTCCCTGTCTTAACATGAAAACTTGGAGAAAAAGGATGCACTACTAGCAGTCAGGTGACTCCACCTGGAAAAGGGTGCTCTGTGCCTGTATTTAATTTTTGCTGTGTTCCTTCCTGTAAATCCTACAGAGATCCCACGGAGAGTGTTTTACCCAGGGAATGCTATGAAAAGAGGGTGCTCAAGATCTCAAGCAAAGGGAAAAGGAAGATATTACCAAAATGGAGTGCCTGCAGAAAATGTGAGGCCATGACACGCAGCTCGCTTGGCAGGGAAATTTGACAAAAATCATTTTGTTGACCAAACTGTAGCTTTTAGAAGTGCTTAATCCATTATCTCAATAAAATCAGCTCTGATGAGCCTCTCAGACAGGGCTGTCACCAGAACGGTTCGATCAGAGATGATCATCATCGCTGCTGAGTAGCAACATGTTGTTAAAACTCTTGATATTACCTCCTTGCCCCAGTCACTTCCCCTGTGGGAACATTGAGGTGCATTTTCACAGGGTTACCTGTGTGTCCTTGCAGGTATCTCCTGTGCCACAAAAGCAATGAGCTGCAGAGAGGGAAAACATCCATTTCTGTCTGCCAGCCAGGAGCTGGCTCTCAGGTGCCCCATTTAATGCCATCAGCCCCACACAGCAGCTGTTCCAGGGAAGGTCTCGTATTGCTGGTGCCTTCAGCAGACACACAGGGACTGGAGGAGGCCTGGTGCCCACCCTGCTGTGCTTCTCATCAGTGAAGGAGATGGAAAGCACAGGCAAAATGTGAGTTTTCAGCATATTTGCCTCCTTTGTGCTGACTTTCTGTACGCTAATGAGACCTTGCACAGTGACACCTCTGACAGCCCCATCCTGCCTGTGCCGGGGAGGCTTGTGCAGAGCTGGAGATGCCTGGGGCTATAGGCAGCTGGGGTGCTGGGAAGGGAGGCAGTGTCATCTCCTGCAGGCATCCGACCCCTGCTAGGGTGATAGTCCCTCTCCCTGCTGGTGACAGCATCACCTGTCACAGGACACAGCTGGACACTGCAGCTGCAGAGGTGAGGGAGCTGCATGAATGCTGCATCTCCCCAAACTAGGAGATGTGTGAGAGGGGATGGAAAGGGAGGTGCCAGGGCACAAACACAATGTGCTGTAGGTGTGACAGTGTCCATGGAGGCTTCAGAGCTACAAAGATGAGATGTTCCTCTCTGCTGCCCCTATGGGGACCTGCCCCCCAAGTAGGAGTGGATAAGTGGCTGTTGCCTGGCAGTTTGAAGAACCCATAGTTATCTGTCATCTCCCCTTATCAGCAGTGTAAGAAGACATCTCTTTTAATGGATTAGGAGCTAATGATGTGGAGGAGGGACATCAGTTGCATGTGTCAGCCACTGTGCTCATGCAGGCTCTCCGCTCCGAGGCGTGCAGCAGTAATGATCTGGCAGCTAAAAATAATCCAGGGCCACGGCGGCGAGTGACTCCGGTAGGGACCGGCGCTCTGGAGCGGCCGGGGGATGAGTCAGCCTGCACACGGTCGTGTGCGTCACCGTCATGTGCAGCCTCCGATCACGCAGCGATTCCCGAGGCGCTGTTTGTTCCCCGCATGGTTTAGCGGGGAAGAGGCGTCCCTGCGGGCAGTGACCGTCCCTCCTCACGCTTGGGTGTTTGGTAGTGGCTCGCCAGGTCCGAGTTTTCCCGTTGCTTTTGTCCCCAGATGGGACAACAAATGCAAAGCCACCACTGGTGCCCGGAGCAGGTGGTGGGATGGAACATACTGGGGAGAGTCCCACAGATATCCCAAGTATTGCACAGGACATGGCAGTGTCACCAAGGTGTGATGCCGTGGCCAGCCCCATGGGGCCCAGTCTGTGAGGTGAGGGGAGGGATGGCACCTCACAGTCCCCACAGATAGTGGCAGACACTGGCACGTGCCCAGGCCCCGTGGAGAGCGTGGATTGGCGCATCAGGCAGTGCAGGTCTCAAGTGGTAAAGGATGGAGATAAATCACGGGCTTATTGTTATTGAATTTAGTGGCATCGCTTTCACATTCAATTTCTCTCGCCGGCTTTCCCAACAAACAAGAAATTACAGAGCAAATGTATTTTTTGCCTTACCAAACCTTATACATTAACTTCCCTGTGATTAATATTACGCAGGGCTGACGAAACCCTCTGCGCGCCTCTCGTCGCTCCGGTGAGACCATGCCGCTCGTCGCTTCCTCGGGATTTATTCTTTATTCCATTTGCTTATAATTGAAGACTTCTGCAAGGAAGGACTATGGATAAAAGGGGATAGAAATGGTGTTCTGCCCTGTTTTTCTCACTGCAGCTGTATGGAGCAGGGGGAGGGAAATGTAGAGAACAAAGGTAATTTAGGAAAAGGATGCTGTCAGCAGGTAAAGGACGAGGAACAGCACCCACAGTCATGCTGGAGAGCTGCAAGGCATTAGCAGGGCTGCCTGACCTGTGAGGGGACCAAGAGAAACCTATGGAGGTTGGGAGAGACTTTGGACTCCATGCCCAGCACCAATCCCAAGCTGTCACCACCTTGAGACAAGGCAGCTTTGGTGGGATGTGCTTGTCAGGGCAGGCATGCCTTGGCCATCCCTATCTCATGGTATTGACAAGGTGTGGCTGCAGGCTGGCTTTATCCACCTGTCATGTTTGCCATCAAATTCGCCCTGCCTGCATCCTTAAATCCCCCCACTTTCCACCTGCTCCTCCCATGGCAAACCAGTGTGTCCTTGAGACACCATCCTTGACAGCCCAGTCAGTGGGATCTATAAAAATGTAATCAAGGTCCTTTGATGTCCTTCTCCAAGTCCTGGTAACCTCGTAGGCAACGATCGCAGTCACAGGTATTGAGCTGCCCAGTGGGGTCCCCGTGCTGTCCATGGGTGTCCCTGCTGGCTCACAGGGGCATTCCTGATTGGATTAGGGCAGGCAGTGGAAGCACGGCCATGCTTCCCTGGCCTCTGGATGTTCAGGAAATGCAATTCCCTGCTGTGAGACCTGCTGGCATGTCTGTGTCAGCATCCTTTGCTAAGGGAAGGGCTTTCGGGCTGATACGTGGGTTTGTATGGCTTAGGGTTTTCCAAATGGGAGCACTGGGACTGTCGTGGTTATGGTAGTGGTTATTTTTTCCGCAGGAGTGAAAGTGTTTCTGTTCCCAGGACGGGGACAGGCTCACATCTGTGCCCAGAGCACCAGTTTCTGCGTCTAATTTTGTACTTGTGGTTTGGGACTCAGGGAACAGGAAAGGGATGTCAGCCTTGAACTGGAGGTGTCTGGGAGGGCAAGAATAGAATAATGACTGTGATTTTGCTGATGCCCTGCATCACACACCATCGCTCTAGTCCAGCATCTGCAGGCAAAATCACACAAGGAAGAGACAGGCTGCCATCTGGAGCAGGGGTGGCATCCCAAGGTCTCAGCATCCACTAACTATGGTGATATCATCTCGGACCAAAACTGCTCATAAGGAGGGCTGGTTTGCAGGTTCAGGAGCAGTTGAAAAATGCCCCAGTTGTGGGAACCTTTGTCCTGGATGTTCTTGTCGTTTGCAGATGTTCCTGGTACCAGTTTGAGGAGCTGTTAGGAGGGGAGAGGTGCAAGGATGCTGGTAATATGGATTAGTGTTATCTTGTCTGAGTGAGGAAGGGCCATTTACAGCCTTCCTGCAGCTCATTGTGGCTGCGCTGTCGGAGTTGGCCAGTTCTGCTCCGAGCGTTAACTACGTTTTCCAGCAGTTGCCAGCACACACTTTTCATTTTTGGATTGCTGCTTTCCCCTGAAGGACTCAGACAATCTCCCTCTGCTATAACAGACTGTACTTCTATATTAATGTGTCAAGTTGCTGGGAAATTTACTGCTTTGCAGAACCCATAGGGCTGCAGAGCCCGCACCGCATCTCTGCCATGGCTCATCCTACTGTGCCGCCTCTCCCACGCCAGGAGAGAGGAGAACCTCTCTGGGAGTGTGAGGAGAGCTTCCCTGGGGGTGTGAGGAGAGCCAGGCAGCCCCACTTTCCCTTGCAGGCAGTGCTGGTGTTGGCCACAGTGGATTTCAGGTGATTATCCTGGTATCCCACTGCTGCAGGAGAGCCCTGGGTGCAAGGGTTGGGCATCAGATGCCACTTGACCTGGGCTTTCAGCATGTTGTGTCCTTGGGGAGGGGGCACAGAACATCCTTTCTGGCATTGTAGGTATGGTGTTCCATTTAGGGAGAGTTGTTAAATATGGCCTCATTTGCTCCCTGGGGTGCAAACCCTTTAGGGTTTTGTGTCCAACAGCCCAGAGTGCCAGGCAGCAGCATCGGCAAGTGAGCTTTAATTGCTTTTTGCCATGGCCAGGGATATTTATGGGTACAGAGATTGCCAAGTTATTTATTAGATGGAGTATCTGGGGATAGAGTAATATAAATCACCCTGGCCGGTATTGAAGGAGCAGACGCTCAGTAATTTAAACAGCTTTAATAAATATGCTAAAATATGAGCCTTGTCACAGACCATAACGAGAGCTGGTTATTGGGGTCTCGGCCATGGAGTGGGGGACTGGCACAGTGAGTGGACCCCTCCACACCCCAGATCTATGCTTGGCTCCAGTCCAAGATACTGGTTTGGAGACAAGGAATTGCTGACTAGACAGGGGAATGGAGGGGACACCAGCATCACACAATGGGACAAGTCTCATGACTGGGGCCTGCCAGCTGTGCCTGGCAAGCTGGTGTGTTGATGGTGCCTTTGGTGGCCTTTGTGTCTTGCAGTGCCCCCCCAGATTGTCAACATCTCATCGGACATCACCGTGAACGAGGGCAGCAGTGTGACCCTCATGTGCCTGGCCTTTGGGAGACCGGAGCCCACCGTCACGTGGCGGCACCTCTCCGGGAAAGGTGAGCCCTTCCTTGGTGGAAGAACTTCCTGGGTCGGAGGAGGGGCCATCCTGGCCTGTGTGGGATGCATGGTTGTCCCTACAGAGGTGGTCAGGGTGGCATTAAGGTGGCTCACAGTCAGAGGTGCTGACATTTTGGTGAGACCTGGGATGGGGCTGAGGATCCTTGTCAAGTGCTTTCTGGGTGAAGGGGATGCCAGATGTCCAGGCAGGGGGTGTCAGGGCAGGGGCACAGGGAAGTTCCTGATGTTGGTGTCCATGGGTGACGGTGCCACACGTTCAGTACATCCCCCAGGGCAGACCTTTGTGAGTGAGGATGAGTACCTGGAGATCACGGGCATCACACGGGAGCAGTCCGGGGAGTACGAATGCAGTGCCGTCAACGACGTGGCCGTCCCAGATGTGCGGAAAGTCAAAGTTACCGTCAACTGTGAGTGCAGGGCACAGGGGAATGGGGGGGTGGTGGGTGCCCGTGGCCCAGTGTGACGCAGCAAGATGTCTCTGCAGACCCGCCGTACATCTCCAACGCCAAGAACACGGGCGCCTCGGTGGGCCAGAAGGGCATCCTGCAGTGCGAGGCTTCGGCCGTCCCCGTGGCGGAGTTTCAGTGGTTCAAGGAGGACACCAGGTGAGGGGTGCAGAGGGGGTGGAGGATGGGAGGGTTGCCACAGCCTTGGGGTGACAAGATGAGGTGGTAGAGGGGGGTGACAGTGTCTGAGGCCGTCATGTGGAGAAAGGCAGGGATCAGCACTCACCACTCATTTTGGTGGGTGCTCAGCTAAGGGCTGAGGAGATCCCAGAGCTGTTTCTCCCAGGGATGGTGACTGTGGGCCACATGGGTCAGGCTAGGTTATGGGATGGAGAGTGGAATGGAGAGTTTATCTTCAAAACTGCAACGCACAAGTTCAGTGGGGGCACATGTGGGTGCATAGTGGTGTTGGCTGGTGGGAAGCAAAGGAGTGCCCAGGGGGGCACCAGGGATCCACCCCAGCCCTGTTCTCCCAGCTATCCGTGTTTCCCTGCAGGTTAGCGAACGGGCTGGAGGGAGTGCGGATCGAGAGCAAGGGCCGCCTGTCCACGCTGACCTTCTTCAACGTCTCGGAGAAGGACTATGGCAACTACACGTGCGTGGCCACGAACAAGCTGGGCAACACCAACGCCAGCATCATCCTCTATGGTAGGTGCCGGTTTTTTGCAGTAAGGTGAGGTGACAAGGAGGAATAAGAGGAGAGTGAAGAGGAGGCATTTGGAGAGGAGGAGGATGAAGAAGAGGAAGAGGAGGAGGAGGATGAAGAGGAGTTTGAAGAGCATGATGAGGAGGATGAAGAGAAGGAGGCTGGCAGACAGCCAGTGGTGGAGTGATGGAGCAGAGCTGGCTGTATTTGGTATTCCTGGTCCATCGAAGTGCCAAACAGCACAAACCCTGAGCAGTGAGGTCCTGCCAGAGGATGCTCAGAGGATGAGATCTGTATCAGCCCAACACTGGGTGCACAGCACAGTTGGCCACAGTCGGCTGAGCCCTGTTGTTGCTGGAGCAGGGGTGAGGAGGGAGCCTGGGACAGGTGAGAACATGCTCTGGGTGCACGGTGTGGGGTTTTCCCTTGTTTGCTACTGGCAGGACTGCCAGCAGTGATCACATTGTACTAGCAATGGCAGGATGGGTGACATCAGCCTGGGTGATTCCGGTGGCCAGGGCCGGAAGGTGTTTGAGGAATGTTGTCATCAAGGACAGCTGTCACTGAGGAAGGTGGCATGTACCTGTGGCATGTCCCTTTGGCATTCTGACAAACGGAGGGAGCTGTCACAATCCAAGGGTGGAGAGCAGGAGCCTGCCTTCCCCCAGCAGGAGGGAAAGGATGGAAGTCAGGTAGCAGGCTCAAGGGAATGTTGAGAGGGAGAAAAATTTCCACACCAGCTTGGACTTTGGATGGGTGGACACTGTGGAGGGGGCCTGGGGGGTGCTTGCTGTTTTGGGGTGGTGGGAGGGGCACATCTTTGACTTTGGTAGTGGGGCTGGCTGGCCCATTCAGGAGTTCTCTGCTCCACTCTCTTCTGTTGTGTTCTGTAGGGTTGTGTTTGGGTAGGGGCTGGTCCAGGCCTTTCTATTCTTACCAGTTCTCCTCTGCCCTGGCTTGATTTCTTCTCTTTGGGTCAAAGCTCTGGGTTTTGTTCCCTTTCCTCTGTTCTCTTCTGTTTTACGTTTTTGGTGAAGAAATTTTCCCAATATCCAGTATAGTGCAGTATAGTATAATAGACTATATATAATACAATAGGATAAAAATACAGTGTAGTACATATTATTAATAATAATGATACATCAATAATAAATATATATAGATGTGAAAACAACTCTTATTCATATATTTAATAATAGTGTCTTGTTGACACATATTATTATATATAAGCATATTATTCTTTATTATATGTTATGTATTATACTCATAGTATATAAATTATAGAATATCTAGTATACATTATTAGTTTTTACATAGTACAATATATAACTTACAAGGTATATGAGGTATTCATATATATATATATGTTTTTGGGGTATAGGAGTTACAGTGGCAGTGCTGAATTGATGCTTGGATTTGATGCTCTTAAAGGTCTCTTCCAACCCTGATGATTCTATTACTGTATATAGTAAATATTGTATTTTTGATATTTAGTACATAAATAAGTACATTACGTTTCCAATCCAGTTTTCCCAATATCCATTTTTTTTGTTTCCCTATCCTGCTGTCACTCTTGCACTTACTCTTTCTCTGATGTGAGACAAAATAACATCACCTGAGTCTTTTTTCCATTACTTGAAACCAGACTAAAGAAAAAGTCACAGTGGAGGTAACTCCCTCCACTCAGGAGGGGACTAGATTAGGGATTTTTGGTTTTGTTCCAAGCTATTACATGGTTATCTTTTATTTGACAACATCTGTTTTCAGGCATTTTTCCTTCTCTCAGCAGATAGTGTTGCTCTTTACACACTCCTCCTGTGACAGCACAGCAATCCTCTCACAACGGTTATTAATTGATGCCAACATGCAGAGAAAACAAAATTTCACCTTGTTTTAATAAATTAATCTCACAAACACGTCCAGCAGGCTGAAGTGAAGTACATTAGAGGTGATTGCATAGATGGCAAAACGGGAATATTAAAAATCATCCATAAAATTGAGATGTAGGAGCCCAGTCTTGTGGCTCTCTCTGCTTTGTAGCAACTCCTGCTAGTAATAGTCTATTCAGTGGAATACTAATATTCCTCTGAATATTAGTATAATCCTAATCTAATAATCCTTGTTTTATATAAGGAAGATTAGGAAAGAAAGCATTAGGAAGGAAAAGTTAAAACTTAAAATGTTCCGTTTGTTTTCATGTGGGTATTTAGCTGCACCAACACTGAAGCCTAAATTTGTCTTTGAAAGGATATTGGCACGTCCTTTGGATATTGATGTGTGAAGACTCAGGATACCTAAAGTTATTTCAATTTCATAACTTTTAATGGAGAAAAAGGCAAACATTCATATTGTATTTCCCCCCCCATCTTTCAAGAGTGTGAGTGAAGCACACTGGAGCAGTCAGGAGCAGGCCATGAAGTGAGCTCAAAAAGGAATTTAAGCAGGTGGGATTCCATCCCTCCTCAAGGATTGCGCTTTTTTTCATTTTGTGAACATGTTGTGAAATTCAACAGCTTGTCTGTCAAAGCTGCAGCTTCTTGGAAACACAGGGGAGAGTGGAAAAGATGGGCTCTGTGGAGAGCTTCTATTTGGGTATGTGCGTGGTGTTTCTTGGACAGTCTCTACCAGCCTTTGCCAAAGGGGAGAGGAGCACAAGCGGTTGGAAATCTGCTAATTCTTTTATTTAAAGATTTTGTGTCTGGGTTCACTTTTTGATGAGCATGTTGCATTTTGTACTTGCTATTTATATATGGAGATAGGGGGGAAAAATCACCCAAACCTGGATCTTTACATCTCTTTTAAGTGCAACGTGTCCCTCAGTGACCAAAGGAAATTCCCCCAAGCCCCCATTCCAAACTGGCAGCTCTGGGACCTTTTATTGGCCCTTTCCATTGAAGAGCTATTGGAATAAAGAGAGATGTAGATGTTTTATAAAAGATGCCATCTGCATTTTTCCAATGTTCAGGGTCTCATTTCTAGTATGTAATCTTTTTGATTGATGATTGGGTGAGTTAACTGAAAATAAGTTAAAATACCAAGTGTTAGATGTGATTTAAACCAATTATTCTATGGAGAGATAAAATCTTTTCATGCTTTATTGTGCACTCTCTTAAGAATCAGCAGCTTCAGACTAAATACATAAAAGCAAGGGAAAGCAATTATGTCTTTAAGAATAAGAGCCCTGATTCAATATTTAAAGACTGCTTGACTTAAAACACTTAAAACACAAGTCAGAGAATCACAGAATGGTTTGGGCTGGAAGGGACCTTAAAGCTCATCCAGGTCCAACTCCCTGCAGTGGACAAGGACACTTTGCACTTAAAACACAAGTCAGAGAATCACAGAATGGTTTGGGCTGGAAGGGACCTTAAAGCTCATCCAGGTCCAACTCCCTGCCGTGGACAGGGACACTTTGCACTATCCCAGACTGCTCCAAGCCCCATCCAGCCAGGTCTTGGACACTTAAAGGGATCATGGGGCAGTCACAGCTTCTCTGGGCAACCTGTGCCAGAGCCTCACTACAAATATTTGAATTTTGCAAAAAGAGAATCAATGCAAAACATATGCAAAAAAAAAAAAAAAAAAAAAGCATCTTTGCCCTGTTTACCTATTGCTGTGGAGTGTCTCTGATTGCAGTGATTTTCTGTGTTTATTTGTGCACACAAACCAGTAATCTGACAAAACTAGGAGATATTAGGAGTGGAAATTAGTAAGGAGAGGAGAAGGAAGCAGGGCTGTATTCAGGGAGTATAAATATCTGAACCAGGTCTTTTGTACAGGAGAGAAAGCAATTACCCCACATCTACTTTTGTGCATTACAGGAACTTCGAAGGGCAGGTGAATCTGTCCAACTGCTCTTTTGTGTCTGCCATCAGTAATGCTTTTTGGGTCAAGGGAGCATCTCACACCTCATTTCATCATTCTTCAAGTTGCCACCTGCCATTATTAATACCCCACAAAAAGGCTGAGATATGTAAGCTCTGTAGTTGCTGCCAAAGAGTCTGGGAATTGCTATCCTCAGCTTTATTTTGCTTCAGGAATGTGCTAGTGGACAGCTCAGGGATTGGTGGCCACACATTGCTGTGCCATGGTGCCACAGCCAGCCCAGCTGGAAGCAGTGGAAGGAACAGAACACAGTTGGGTGGGGACTTAAAAAGGCTTCCATTCTCTCTGGTCAACAATAAAATGATTTTTTTTTTTCCTGTTAATTGAGTGGATTATGCTGTGTGGATGTTCTGGGTGGGATCAGGGCAGATGTCCATCAGGTGTCTGGTGCTAGCTGTGCTAGTGCCTCATGACTCTGGACTGAGCCATCCATCCCCTCAGCATCTTCTGCTCCAAGCGTCCCTTGGGAAATGGCAGCTCTTCTCTGGAGCCAGGCTGGGAAAGCTGGGAGTGTTCATCTGCAGGAGAGAAGGCTCTGGGGAGACTTTGGAGTCCCTTCCAGTGCCTAGAGGGGCTCCAGGAGAGCTGGAAAGGGCTAAATCATGGGGTTAATTTGGGTTATTTGGTCAACTAATTGGCATTTGGGGTTACCTGGGACAGACTCACTTTCTGTAAAGTACTTTATGGTTACTTTAGATCATTGTGTTATTTGGTCAATCAATTAACATTTGGGGTTACTGTAGATCATTGGGGTTACTAGAGGTCAAACTTGTTCTGGGCAGAGCACTTTGAGGTTACTTGAAGTCAGCCAGTTAATATTTGGGGTTACTAGGAGTCATTTGGGTTACTAGAGGTCAAATTTGTTCTGTGTAGAGCACTTTGAGGTTACTTGAAGTCAGCCAGTTAATATTTGGGGTTACTAGGAGTCATTTGGGTTACTAGAGGTCATTTGGGTTACTAGAGGTCAAATTTGTTCTGTGTAGAGCACTTTGAGGTTACTTGAGGTCATTACTTGAGGTCAACCAGTTAATATTTGGGGTTATTATAGGTCATTTGGGTTACTAGAGGTCAAATTTGTTCTGTGTAGAGCACTTTGAGGTTACTTGAGGTCAACCAG